TTCAGTAGAGATGGGGTTTTGCCATGGTGGCCAGGCTGGTATCGAACTCCTGACCTCAGTTGATCCACCCACCTCAGCCTCCCAACAAGCTGGGATTACAGGCATGAGCCACTGCGCCCGGCCACAATTCAGCCTTTTAAAGTGTACAATTCATAGTTTTTAGTACATTCACATGTTTTGCAATCATAACCTCTATCTAGTTCCAGAACATTGTCATCAGCCCAAACAGAAACCCCTTGCCCATTAAACAGACACTCCCCATCCCCCTTCATCCCAGCTGCTGGCAACCACTAATCTACTTTCTGTCTCTATGGATTTGCCAACTCTGGACATTTTGTATAAATGATGCCTTTCAAGGTTTGCTTCACTTATTTTTGAAATGTGGCTTGGAATGTCTTGCTCACTTGGAGCCAGGTGCTGTGCTAAATGCTTTATACGTTTCTACTCATTGAATCCTAATAACCACCCCATGAGGTAGATAGTGCCATTATCCCTGTTTCACAGATGAGGAACCGTAGCACTGAGCAGTTAGGCGCATGGGACAGAGTCACAGCAGCACTGGCCAGGTGTGCTTTCAAGCCGATACTCCATGTGTAAGCTGGACCTCTCTTTAAGGGAGCAGGCACTTGGTGGCTTGCCAACACGCTCATCACGTTTATTCTTTTATTCTTTTGTTTTGTGTGTGTGTGTGTTTGTTTTGTTTTGTTTGAGACAGTGTCTCACTCTATCACCCAGGCTGAAGCGCAATGGTACGATCTTGGCTCATTGCAACCTCTGCCTCCCAGGCTCAAGTAATCCTCAGCCCCCCGAGTAGCTGGGACTACAGGCACACGCCACCACGCCTGGCTAATTTTTGTATTTTTTGTAGAGATGGGGCTCTTGTTACGTTACCCAGGCTGGTCTCCAACTCCTAAGCTCAAGTAATCTGGCCAACTCAGCCTCCCAAAGTGCTGAGATTACAGGCATGAGCCGCTGTGCTCAGCTCCTCCATCATGCTTATTCTTGACCACTTCTCACATTCCTATTACCTGCCTGATCCCTGAAGGTATCTGTGTTCACGCCTTCTGCTCTGGTTATGCAGACAAACCTGAGTTCAAATCCAATTCAGCTAAGCGTTATCTTGATTAAGTTCCTAAACCTCTCTGGGCCCCATATTTTTCATCTGAGAAGTGGGTTACCAACCAGTTACCTTTAAGACTCTATGTAAAAGGGCCACTATGGACATCAGGAGGTGATATGGGTCACAGTGCCACAGGTCAGGGTAATGCGGCAAGGCACTGAGGGCCTGGCCTATAGGTGTTCCAGAAATGAAGCTCTTGTTAAGATTACTACCCGTCCACATCCCTGACAGTCTTCTCTCTGCTGCTCAAAAGAACAGCTTCCCATTTCTGGAGGCGCATACAGGAAGCATACCTGTGTTCGGAGGACTTTTTGAACTGGTGAAATACACAGCAGACTGAAAAGCCCTCTGTAATTAGAACAAAGATAACTTGTTAACCGCCCTTTAAACTCCTGGGAGCCTAAAGTCAGCCTCTACTTGCTACTTGCTAGAGCCTGGAAGGATTTCTCAGATTATGAAGGGCTGCTTCTGCGTGCTTTCTGAGGTCTGCCAGCATTTCTCAGCCACATCCCACTACTGAGTACCAGGACCAAGAATAAAGTGGCTCTCAGCAGGCCTACACATAATGCCACTCCAGGGCTCAAGGAGAGTCAACTGGTGCCTGAGGCACTTGCTTTGTGTTTGTCATTTTGATGCAACAGCTCTGAGACTACCAGGATCCCGGAGAAGACCACCAATGCAAAAATCATATTATCTTATTTTGGACAAAAGATCCAGAAAACTGTTGGCCAGGCGCGGTGGCTCACCCCTGTAATCCCAGCACTTTGGGAGG